TTTAAATCATTCATATGTAGTGTTGTGGAAAATAAGTAAGTAAAGAATAATATTTTAAAACACAAATATTCCACTACTAGAATAGATTTATTAAAAAAAGTAATCCAGCAATGAAATAGGACATTAAAATTGAAGCTTTTCAATTTAAAGAACTTTGATACTGTTATGGCATCACCTCCTACATCAAGAAACCTCCACACGGTCTTTTAGAAGTAGTCCGCGCAAACTGTTTAAAAAGTGAACCAGTTGTGCGCATGAACCCAAAACTTTTTAGAAAAGTAATTGAGAGAAATTTATCTTATATATTTGAGAATTGAATCTGCAGTGGTTGACTAGTGAATAAGGCAAACCAATAATATTCATAAATAAAATAAATATTTACTACCACTTTCTTATGTTAACTATACTCTGTATTAAATGACTCGTTCTGTAAGTGGATATCCTTTACAGTGGTCAGATCGGACTACCTATAAAAAATCGTGTGGAGGCTTTCAGTTATAGGAGGCGTTCACGCCGGGTGTTGGGCCTGAAAGCGGGACGGAAAAGAGAAAGTACTGGTAGAAGAACTATTTCAATATTAGATAATATTCGGGAGGAGTTAATCTATTCTCAACAATAACAATTCAATGTAAGGAAATTTATCACGGCGAAGAAGCAATTCAATATAAAAATTGCATCCGTTAAAAACAATTGGTAGTTATGGATTTTTATTATTTCCGGAAAAAAACTAAAAAATGAAATTCATTTGTTACCAGTTTTTACTCCGGTGCGCGCCCGATGAGAAAGTCTCCACACGATTTTTTGTAGATAGTCCGATCAGACTATCATGATGTTAAACCAATTATTGAAAGAACCATTTAATATGAAATCTATTAAAAAATAGAAAGTGGTAGCAAATATATCTCCAAAAATTTGTTTAATTTATGAATATAATTGGTTTGCTTTATTTACTTGCTAACCACTACAGATTCAATTCTCAAACATATATAATAAATTTCTCTAAAGTACTTTTAAAATAGAATTTGGGTTCATGCGCACAAATGGTTCGCTTTTTAAATAATCTGCGCCGACTGCCTATAAGAAACCGCGTGGAGGCTTCCTGATGTAGGAGTTATCTACTTGCTATATTCGAATCCATGCCAACTAATGTTAGCTTCGTTTCAATCAAATTTACGAAAAAATTGGATAGCGAATATTAGCTTTTAATTTAAACTATTATATATAATTTTAATTTTAAAAGATAAAGTGGTAATGCAATATTTTTATTACTTATTTTGTTTATTATTTTTAAAAATAATTGCGAAATCAGCTTGAGTAGAGTACTTGAAAACTTATATGACATATTTTTGTGTTTATTTTTAATTATAAGCAGTATTTTTTTTTCGTTTACTAGAAAATTAATGTTATATTATATTCTAAGATGGATTGTAATAATTTTTACTAGCTTTTAGGTTCCAAATAAATTTCTATTAAAAAAAAAGAAAGATTTATTAAATACCTCATTTTCCTAAAACCACTAAAAAGTTTATAATTCAGTTAACACTCGGGAGCAGGAAGTGGTATGGGAAAACCATTTATGTGAACAAAATGGCTGAACAATTGCGTAAAAGTGACTATTGACAAAATAGAATAAACTAATAAAATAAAGTAAACCCTTTAATAAATTTTTTATCTAGAACTTAATATTAATGGTTCTAGGACTTAACCTCAGATTTGCAATTAACTAGTACAAATAATATTTCTTATTACGAAATCAGACACACAAACGTACATTCTCTGGAAAAAAAACTTACGTTTTGTTTGACAAATTTCGCTACTTGAGTAGTGGTGACTCAGGGGATAGAGCGTTCGCCTTCCGATGAAGTTAACCGTGTTCGAATCCCAGCAATGACTGGTCAATACGAATTCCGCACCCGGCTCATACCGACCACAGTGCTAACGAAAAATATCTTAAGTGGTAGATGGATCATGGGTTTGAGTCCCCTTGCCGTCAGGCTAACCGTGGAGGTTTTTCGTAGTTTTCCTCTTCCTATAACGCAAATGCGGGTAAATTAAATCAAAATGTCCTCCACGGAGCCAAATTTCACTAAATACTTGATCCCTTGTCTTCTGAGTTGGATTCAAATTTAGAAGGCTACGGACTTGAAAATGCGTAATTGTAAACTTAAAATTTAGTCGGCTGTTCAACAACGGTGATAAAATAAAATAAAATTTGGATCATTGACACACATATTATATGGGGGTCGTCGTACTCAGATCGCTCTAAAAGTTTTAATTAATTTTAATCTCTTAATTTTAATTTCACTTTTTGCCTATCATAAAACCAGAAAATTTGTTTACTCGAAGATAATTCTGTGTGAAAATATTCTTATATAACGATTTTTTTTAAATATAAGATTATTAATTTTTTAATGGTTGGGAAAATTTTGAAAGAAGTATTCTACTCGGATTTCATCCACGTAACTTTAAATGATGAAATTCAAGTTTTAAAAAGAACCGAATTTGTTTAAATTGTGTTCTCTGATATTTAAAATAAAATGGATTAAATTGGTGTAATACTTTTTGTGCCTTATAATTGAACATTTTTCGATCCGTCAGTAAATAAAAGCAATAAAAATTATAAATAATTATAAAAAGTAATTAAAGAAGGTGAATTTTTGTGTCTGATTTTATAACTTTAAATATCGTCTGCAAAAGTTAATTTAATTATTGTATTTTGAGTATTTTATTAAAGGTTTTCAAAACGATATCAAATTGAACTGAACAATTATGACATATTATTTTTCTTGTTGTTTTTATAACAATTAATCCTTGAAATTTTATAAACATTTCTATTTATAAAATTTCAAATATTAATTGTTAAAGAAGGATTGGGTATAATATAAAAAAAACACAACTACTTCCACTTAGTAGGAATAACATTTACCATGACGCAATGCTAAATTCTATGCCACTATCCACATAAATCAATTATTAATCAAAAATCGAATATCAATTACTTTTCTTTATAATGCAATGAAATCTGGCGAGCAGCTATTTAAACGATCAAACACTTCGTTTGTTTATTTGTGGCTTGAAGTTAGACTCGCAGAAAATGCCGTTCATGGGTTAAATTTAGTAGGAATAACACAACCTGTGACGTAGGCTATAGTATACCCCATTATGACATATTACTTTTATTGTTGTTTTTATAACAAGTTATATTTGAAAATTTATAAACTATATTAATTGTATAAGAAGGTGCGTTTTAGTGTCGGTTTTCATAACTTCAAATATCGCCTGTAAAAATTAATTTAATTATTGTATTTTAAGTATTTTATTGAAGGGTTAGAAAACGATCTCAAATTGGAACTGAACAATTATGACATATTATTTTTATTGTTGTTTTTATAACAAGTTATATTTGAAAATTTATAAACAGTTCTACTTCAGATAACATGGATGTTAGAAGATTATATAATTTATTATATTACTTGTACTCGGAACAGAGGTTCCTTTAGGACTTCTTAATATTCTTTTTTCAAATGTACTAAGATATTTCTGCATCCAAGTTCTTACTTTTTTTATCTCTTGGATACGATAAGATCTCAACGAAAGAGAATTCTTAGTTTGTTGTTAACTGCATTTCGGTTACGTCACTTAAACAAGCTTGAGGCTATAAAAAATCATAGTTTTAATCAATTTTTATGGTACAAGTTATTGGTTTCGATTAATATAATTTTTTCTTTACTTTTTATTTTATTTCTGTAGTAGGAAAAACAAAAAGAAGGCGGAAATGTGTGATGTTTTACTAATCTTACTGAAAAAAAGGAATAAAAAACTGTTTAAATAAAAATAGAATGATAAAATATATTTAAGAGTTCTTCCTTTCTATTTAAATGATGACGACTGTGTCATTTCTTGAGTTCCTAAAAATAAATTTTGAAGACATTTTAAGTTTTTTTTTCTTCTATAAAACAAGTAAGCAATTATTAGGCAACTATAAAACTTAGCCAATCAATAGCAAGTAGCCAATTATTGCGTTAAAATATTTTTAGAGTTCAAAATGATTTATAAAAAGAAATTCAATAAGTTAAATGCTCGAAATTAATTTGTTTTTATAAGACTTTTAATTGGTGGGAAAGCTGGTAGGATTTTTCAAAATGTTATCGATTCGGAAGAAATTATCATAAATTTGAATTTATGCGCTTATAAATAGCCGGATTTATAAATTCTGTGTTTATAGCTACAATATAACTATATAGCCATAACTTTGCTTATAGGTTTTCCACTGTACTCACTAAGAGAGTATTAAGTTTCAACCTGAATTTGAGTCCTTAAATTAAAATAAAATTTGGCTATAGTACATTAAAAGTTTTATTGACGTACAAAAAAGCCCTTTAATAAACTTAAGCGACAACTTAAAGTTCGATAACATTAATATTTATTGTACGCATAGAAAATTGCTGTAGTTGTACGAACTATACATAAATTTGTGCTTCATAAAAAATTCATTTCATGTTGCAAGAGAAAATTTTTTTACTTAAATTGCTTCTTTAAAATGTGCAAAAAAATTAAAACTAATCCAATTTTTTTTTTTCAAAAATGTATTTTATTGATTCAACATTTTTCGAATATATATATATATNTATATAGTAAAATTCGTAAAATCCTTTACATTTTAAATTTAATGATCGAAAAATGTTAGCAGCACATTTAAAATTTAAAAATGTTATTTTAAAGTTACACTGTCCCATTTTAATGTGTGGAAAATTAAAACATTTTAATTGTATTTTATGTTTTTAATTATGTTAAAAAAAAGTCATTTTTTTAAACGGCAATTTCAATAGCAACTCATGAATAATATATACAAACAACGTATGAATAATACGTAACAACTTCATTTTTATTTAAGAAAAAAATATTATTCAATGACAAAAAATACGGAAATAGACACAGTTACTACTTTTATTGATTATGTATAAAGAACTTCCAACTAATCTGAGATTTTTTCCTTGCAGGTTTAGTGATTTCTTTGCGTTTCTTATGAAAGAAAACTACTGGATGTGAAAGTAGAACTATCCTGTTTCAGTTTACCGAAACACTTTAAGCTTAACCAACAAAGAAGATTATTGAAAGAAGATTTAAGAAATAGGACACGCTTTCTTAGAAAAAAAGATTCTTTTAAAGAAGGAAAGGAATTTTTTAATATAAACTTCAAAAAATGCTTTTTTTTAATGAAAATATTTTTTCTTAAAATTGAAAGTGACGAAAAAAAACTAAGTTGTTGAAAGACGGTCGCTGTTCAAAGCACACATTTGTATGGATTAAAAGTGTGAAGGTTTATTCCTTTTTGATGTGTTTCAGGCAAAAAAACAATATAGTCATCTCAACTAGATAAAAAATAACTTTTCAGTTAATGTTTTTTTAATCCAAAGGAAAAGCTTGAAGTATAAATTTCGATAATTTATAATCTCTACTTCTGAAAGCAACATATTCTGAAAATTTGCCAAGGGAAGAAAAATTTCGAAATAAAATTTTGAAAAGAAGTATTTAAAATATTGTCAGTCTGAAAAAAAACTTCGTGAGAAATAAATGGTTTGTACTATTGGCAAAGAAAAAAGCTTGCATCGCGACAGTAAATAGTCAATTTTATTTTAAACTCTCCCAGGAAAATTCTCTTAATTTAGAAAACTAATTAACATTATAAAATAAAGGGAAAGTTTATAAAATATTCAAAAGTTATCAAAGTAGAAAATGAAAGCTTTACACGGATCCAGTCAAGCGAACTGAACAATAACTCCATTTCTCAGTTGTCATGGAAACGGGCCTGCGCAAAGCATCGCACGGAGTACCGTTCTTCAGTGGGCAATCCACGTGTTGCTCGTATATAGTGTTCAAGATCACGATGCAAAATCTTTCCAACAATGATCGCTGCGGTAGGTAGGCTTTCCCCCCGCGCAAGTTCCGACGAAACATTAATTATGTTTTGACACCTTTTCACGAATATTTTTTTTATTTATTTACATATATTTTATATGTTTAAATCATTTTATACTTTTTGGATGATAATGGAATTCTGCATTTGTTAATACATTCCAAACGATTTATCAATGATGAAATTAAGGCACAGAGTGATTGCTATATTTGCATGCATTGCACTTGGACTATTTGTAATTTTTGTGTTCGAAAGTGAGCTGCAGTACGCTGGAAGTGCAAACGATAATAATGAGGTGCATGGAAAGCATGATTTTATTCTGCACAGACGATTCCTTAACAGGGAAGAAACTTCTAAAGTTTCTGGAGAATTTAACAATAATCAACAAATTAATTTGATTGCACCACCAACAGCAAAGCCAATGAATGCGACTAAATCAACTACTTCCACGCCAAAGCCGACAGAGAAAGCCGAAGACATGTTTTGGGATTTATTTCCATACACAATTTATTCGCCAAATTGGAGGGTTTATATGGAATGGCCCCCTCATTATTCGTTACCACCGGAGAACCCTACTTTAGAAGACGTTTTGAAAGTTCGAATGAGGTAAGATTTATTTCTATATAATGTTCTAAATATCTAAAAATGTGTAATAGTCGTAGTTAATATTAATCCTCTGTGGGAAAAATCCATTTTTTAAAATTTATTGTTTAGAGATCTCGTATTTCGGAGTTATTATTTAAAAATATTTCCTTTAGAATGTTGATTTCTTCGAGATGGGTCAGTCATATTTGCATTCTCAGGGTGGGGACAATTAGAGTAAAAAAATTGAAGTGATAGCCAAACTATTTCTAAAGCAGTTTATTTGTGGGGAGGGGCTGAATTCGCCACGAATTATGTACTCAGAATACGCTAGAGTGCTAGAGTTAAAGGAAGAAAAAAAATCAAATTAGCTATGCTTATATTTAAGCTACTGCTATTTATTTTTCTCCATTGTGATTATGTATGAATGAATTTATGACTCACATATCTTCATATATTTTTGTAAATATTCACCGTGACATGTTTTGAAATGGAGCCATACGCTTATATTATTAAATTTAATAATCTTGTAATCTTATAACTTCTTTATATTTTTTAAAGGATCACTTTCTCATTTCTGTACTTATAATCTTAAAAGCGTCATTTTTAAGAACATTTTCTAAAAATATTGACATTATAAGTCTGATACTGTTTCTAGCAATAAGTATAAACTTTTTATTATTTCAATGAGATTTTTCATCCTGATTCTGTATGAGTGAATTTATGATTCACCCGTCTATCAATTATTTTATCAATTAGATTATTTAATGAAAATTATATATTTTCATATATTTTGGTAAATATTCACTCTGTTGTATTTTCAAATTGCTTACGTTGAAATTTCAATATGCTTATGTTGCTAACTTTAATCACCTTGCAATTCGATAACTTCCTTAAATTTTTTGAAGAATCACTTCCTCTCATGCATTTCTCTACTTGTAACGTTAAAAAACGCAATTCTTAACGAATATTTTTTTTTATAAAATTGACATTATAAACCTGATACTTTTTCTAGAAATAAATATAAACTTTTTATTATTTTAATGAGATTTTTCATCCTGATTGAACTGTGTGATATTTTCAAATTGAACTATATGCTTATGTTGCTGAATTTAATCACATTGAAATTCTATAACTTCCTTAAATTTTTTGAAGGATCACTTCCTCTCATACATTTCCCTAATTGTAACGTTAAAAAACGCAATTCTTGAAGAACATTTTTTTTTATAAAATTGTCATTATAAACCTGATACTTTTTCTGGAAATAAATATAAACTTTTTATTATTTTAATGAGATTTTTCATCCTGATTGAACTGTGTGATATTTTCAAATTGAACTATATGCTTATGTTGCTGAATTTAATCACATTGCAATTCTATTACTTCCTTAAATTTTTTAAAGGCTGACTTCCTACCACACATTTCTCTACTTGTAATGTTAAAAAGCGCAATTTTTAAGGAAATTTTTTTCTTCTAAAATTCACATTATAAGCTTGATACTTTTTCCAATAATAAATATAAACTTCTTATTATTTTTATCAAATTTTTCATCCTGATTCTGAATTTGTATGAATAAATTTATGACTTACTTGTCCCGAAGAGGGTACGGTTTGTTATGGTCACAAATGTTGAATGAGCGCAATAAGATCATTTAATTAGAATCAAATATTTCGTAATGTTAAAAAAACGTTATTTTTAAAATAATATGCATCTAAAAATATTTTCTGAAAAAGAATATTTTCTAAGAAAGTAACTTTATAAGTCTCATACTTTTTCTAGCTATAAATATAAACGTTTCATTATTTTAATGAGATTTTTGTTATGAATAAGATAATATGATGAAATATCAAAAATGATAAGGTTATTTTTTACAATATATTTGTTAGGTATAATTGTACAAGGATTTCTTTAAAAAAATATAATAAAAAAAGGATTACTTTTACACTTATAAAAATAATTTTAATGAACAATTAGGATAAAAGACTCATTATATTGATTTAAATGATATTAGAAATCAGCAGAAAGAACCAAATTCAGGTTTATTAAAATTATTCAGGTTATTAGGCTATTATGACTATTATCAGGTTATTATAACTAATTCAGGTTATTAGTTTTAGGAAAAATGTACATCTGGTGTTAAGATTTTATCTCTTAAAAGCATCCGTCGAAAGGAATAGGTAGCAATGTTCCCAAATGGCACGAAGAATGTTTGAAAGCTCATAAACATACTATTAATGCACTGAGAATAAAAATGAAAATTAAAAACAGAGCTGCGTCACTTCCGGTATAGAAATGTGCAGTGACCCCCCTCTAGTATTATTAAAAAAATCGTTATGAATGATTTTGTATAACATGTAAATATGTTATTCCCTCATCATAAGTATTAAAAATAAAAATATCCCTTAATAGCTTTGTAAACTTCTTAATAATTTAAAAAACAAATTTAACCTTAATTTACGAGAGGATTTAAATGTATCTAAGTTTTGAGATGAAATTTATTGCCACTTATCTGAAACTAGAAACATCATCTGACGAAATTCATCTACGTGATTCTTGTAAACACATATCCACCTACGTTTCAAAATCTAAATTGTTCACTAGTTCCGGCTGCTCAAAATTCCTTTCTTGTTTCTGTGTTTATTTATTTATAAAATTATTTTATGAAATTACCTGGGGAAAGTATTCATAGCAATTTATTTTGTGTAATAAGATAATGTTAAAATTTTAATTTATAAATGAATTTAACTAAATTGATGTAAGAGGTTTATTTTTTGTTCGTTCTTTATCCAAAATTATATTTAAAACGATCTCTACATTGATCATATTTAACAGAAATAATACACACAGATTGCACTGAATAGATTACAGTAATTAAATAACACGTAAATAAATGAATATAAAAATCTATATTTATTTAACCAAAATGATATAAATTTTATTATAGGTATTCAATTTTTATTGTACACAATTTACAATTTACAGAATCCTTGGGAATTGAAATAAATAAACGGAATAAACTAAATTTATTCTTTACTTTTATAACCGTCGTTGAACAGCCGGCCTAATTTTGAGTCTACGACTACCCAATGCCTTCGTGAGGGGCTTTTTTTGATGGAACTAATCCACATTTTCGTTACATGGAGAGGAAAACCAGAAAAACTTCCCACAATTAGCCCGACGGCAAGGCCACTTTAACCCAAGATCGGACTACCGCTGAGGTTATTTTACGTCAGCACTGTGGTCGGTGTCAGCCGGTTGCGAAATTCCTACCTACAAGCTATCGCTGGGATTCGACCCCGGTTACCTCATTGGAGGGTGAGCATTCTGTCCCCTGTGCTCACACGGTTTGAATGGTCTAATCAAAATTTAACGAAATTTACTATATATATATTTTTTCTGAAGATGTTAACAAATTTGACTATATTTTATTTATTTATTTTAAATTTTAACAGTGCTGACTATGCATTCGTATGTTTGAGAAAAAAAAATATCGTTAAAACTAAAAAAAAATTATTTCAATATTTGAGAACAATTTCAATAATATTAAGAAAAAAATTAAATTACTTACTCTAGAAGGTTTTCGTTATCTTTGTAATATTATTGTATTATAATTTAATTTTACTAAAATAATATATTAAGGAGAGTTCGCTTGATTAAAAAAAAGATAAACTATTAACTACACTTAAAAATAAGATTGGTTAATGCATTTTGTATGTTTATTTTTTAATCCTAATAAAACCTTTAATTTGTTAGTGCCTGGCTTCTTTATTGGAAGACAATTTTTTTTAATGATAAAAATAACTTCAATAAGTCAAAATAATCAATAAGCCAAAGCTTCTCATCATAATTCCTCAATGAACAATGTGCACAGAAAAATTTCTTTCTGGTAAACTTTCCTCATCAAAACAAAGTGACTAGAATTTGCAAAGAACTAATTTTTTTAAAAAACCAATTTGTACCTAGCGCTAGCTTCCTTTTAAAAGAACGATTCCTTTTATGAAATTAATAAATTAAAGTAAAAATAAATAAATGATCGATCAAGTTTTTTAGCATTATGATACTGGAAACAAGATAGTTCAGTTCGCTATATTTCATTAATAATACATTGTCTTTGTTGGGTCTAAAGTTAAATCATGGTGCATATTTAAAGCTAAAATGGTAAAATACAGTCATACCGATAACAGTCACACCGACTGTTATTTCCTATAAATATATTTTGTAAGCGAATGAAGTTTTAATCTGCTAATATCTTAACGATATGGTTTCTTGGGATTATTTTTTTATATTTAATATTAAAGTACACAAACTAATATTGATAAATATTATAGAAAAGAGAAAATATATACTGTTTACTATAAAGAACTATTGAGATGAAGAACTATAGATTGTTTTAAGCGCTCAAAAACAGACGCCCATTTTGAAGACTTGCCAGACGTGAATGAGAATCGTGGGTTTAAATTTAATTTCGACCTTGTCAAAATTATTTTCACCCCAGTCACTTCAGCTTATCTTGATGCCCTGGAATCTTGTTTTATTCATATAAATGCTGATTCCCTTGTTGACAACATTAGTTCCTCCCCATCTCACCGTAGCTCGTGGAAATGCATTTTACCCTTATTTGCTCCTCTCGGCTGCTGTGGTTTTTCTATTTCTTTTCCACCAATATTCTTCTATATTTCGTAGGCAGATTTACGTTTTATTTTTCAAATCCCTTTTGTTTCGATTTATTTGCGTTTGTCAAGTCTTGAAAATAGGTGCATATTTTTGAGAGCTTGAAATAATTGTCATTTCATATTTGTATATTTTTGAAGCGAATGAGATTTTTAATCTGTTTATATTAAATATACTTTTAAAAAGTTTATTCCAATTATCCGTTTTGTTCTCATTATCTCTAAAAACTTTAAACAGTGAAAAATTTAGAGAAAAATCAATACACACTAAGTATCTCCGATGTCAAAACTTTTAAGACTGTTATCCCACTTTACTAGTTAGAAATAGTGACTATAAAAATGTCAGCCTTTTCT